CGTCTGTCTGCGGGTCACCAAGGGAAAACTCATGTGATGCCCCGAGTGCCCGGCCGGCAGTAACGCGCTCCCCAACGGGGCCGGTCGACCCCCGGAGAAGCAACCTCAGGGCATGTGCAGCTCTCAGTGGAGCAGGCTGGGGATCCCCGGATCAAGCCCTGGGTGCACTGGGGGGTGTGCATTCCCCAGGTGCAGGGAGGGGTGCCCGGGGAAGGTGCCGGGTGCGTCGGCAGGTACCAGGTCCCCGTAGTGGTTCATGGCCAGGCGGAAGGTGTGCCAGCCCTGCGACTCCTCCAGGTTGTGCTGCTGGATACGCCACAGGTTCTTCTCCCAGACCTCCCTGCGGGCAGCCTCGACCTCCTGCCACGGGGCAGAGCAGCAGTGGGATCAGAAACGTCCCCTGGGAGTGTGGGGACACAGGACAGGCTGGGTGCACGTGGGTGGCTCTGGCTGAGACCCCCTCGGAGCCAGCTCCGGTGTGTGCCGGGAGGCCTGGGGGGAGCAGGACCTACCTCTGGGTACTCCTTGGCATGAAGGCTCTTCCAGCCTTGCCAGGCCAGCTCCAGGGCAGGATCCGGCGCCGCGGCGCAGCCCATCAAGGCCAGCAGCAGCCCCAGCGGCATGGCCATGGCACCCAGCTGGGGGAATGGCGAGAGTAGGGTCAGGGGGGTCCCCGGGCCGACCCCCATGGCTACCAGCTGTGGGCTGGGAGCAGGATGAGTCTTTCCAAGCCCGGATTAGAGGTGAGGGGGAGGCAGAGAAACACAAACAGAGCAGCCAAGCCAGGAGGAAGAGAGATGCTGATCCAGCTGAAGGAACCAACACTTTTGTGTGGCTGTGCTGCTGTTTTGACAGGAGCTTTAGGAGGTCTTAGCCGTACTTTGGGTGGCATTTCACTGTCCTTTTTAGGAGAGGAACGAGCAGCTTCACGAGAGAGCAGAGCCTGGACGGCTGAAGGAGGCGGACGCAGACAAAAGGGCAGCGCGAGCGGCAGGGACGGTGCTGGCTCCCCCCTCTCCCTGCTCTTCTTATTTGCAAAACCCCACTGGTTTTCTCTGCCACCCTCTCTTCCCCCTTCCCACAGCAGCTCTCCCTGACCCCTGACAAGGAGCACAGCTGAGTGCCCCTGCTTGGGGACTCAGCACCCAGCAGGATTGAGCCCCAAGCAAAAGGATGAGTGGGGAATCATAGAATCATGGAAAGGTTTGGGTTGGAAGGGACCTCAAAGATCATCCAGTTCCAGCCCCCTGCCATGGGCAGGGACACCCTCCACTCACCCAGGGTGCCCAACTCATCCAATCTGGCCTGGAACACTGCCAGGGATGGGGCAGCCACAGCTTCTCTGGGCAACCTGGTCCAGTGCCTCACTACCCTAAAGGAAGGCAGGATCATATCCGCACTCCCCCAGAACAAGGTTTGTGATGTTGGCTGGAGACAGCAGAGCGGCTTTGGGACCCCAGGCAAAGCAGAGGAGCCCAGCGGAGCACGAGCCGCAGCCGCTGGGCCAGGATGAAGCTGTTTTCACTTGAAAGCCAACAGAAATCTGCAGCAGCATCTGAGCACGGGGCTCAAGCTGGAACCAGAGATAAAGAGGTTTTTCTGCAGAGGTGGGGAGGCAGAGGAGCCACCGCTCCACACCGGTGACTGAAGCCTCACATCTGTCTCAGCACGAAGGCAGGATGCCCGCGCGTACGTGCTTCACCAGAATCCCTCTGTGAACGTTTTCCAGTATCAACTTACACCCTTTCTTTTTGCCAGCATCCAGGCACAGCCCTGCTCCAGCCCCAGCCCCAGCCGGGCTCCCGTCGCCGCCAGGCCCCCTCCGCCGCAGCCATTTGTCTTCCTCACATCTCCGCCACGCGCCCCCCGTGCCTCCTTTGATGGACCCTGGTATTTCGGAGCAACTCCAGTTATTCTGGGGGGGCTGCTCTGCAAAGCACCTCGCAGGAGGAGAGAGATAAAACGCCTGAAACACCCTTAATCACTGTACACAGCGTTTCTACTGACGTGGCTTTCCAAGAGCGAGAGCCGTCTTCGTATCTTTATTCTGCACACTTTGGGAATGGAGATGCCGGAAAGTTTTACATTTGAGCATCTTTCATGGTGAGCAGTGGCTTTTCTGAGCTAATTTCGTTGCTCGAGCAGTGTTTTTGTTTCAAAAATAAGTCATCAGGAACATCTGTTCTCCCTCCACATCCTCCGCCTAAAAATAAAGCCCCACATGTTGGGTTTTTGTGGGAGAAGTGCTTCCCGAGCCACTCTCATGCTTAGTCCCAGTTTTTGAGGAAGAGTTGTTTTTTTGCCTGGTTTCCCCAGCACCCGTTACAGCACCCGCCGCTTCCTCCGGCCGTTACCGCTCGCTCAGGAAATTAACTCAACTTCGTGCTACAGCTGCAAATCCTCGCTCCGAAAGAGATACCATGAACCCAGCTGCACCATTACTCCCGTTACCTTTCCCACAGGACAGCTGGGTGGGGGCTTCCCACATCATTTGTATTTCAATCCCCAGCAGAGCCTGTTCCATATGGAAAAAGCTCAGGATTGCGGTAGGTGATTTCCCAGTTAAAGCCTCTCAGGGATTCACAATCCTCCAAAGAAGAAAACCAGCCCCTTTTTATCACGTCAAATAATCCTACGGCTTCGGAAGCAAGCTTGGAGGATCAAAGGAGCTGACAGATTCCTAAACTCTTCTAGACAAGAGTGTTTTAAGAGCGCACTGCAGACATTTTAAGAAACATTTGCTGGTTTGGGACAGGAAAAAGCAGTTTAAGGCTGAAAAGAAACAAACCCTGTAAAATAAAGCTTCTTACCATCCACTGGCACCCACCTGGCTCTAGGGAAGATGGGGAGAAAGGGGAACAACTTTTCTGTCTGCAGGCTTCTCTCTAAGAATCTTCAGTGATGTGCAACTTCCTCCATTACGTCCCCTTCCGCCCCTCCGACCTCAAAAGCTGCACCAGAAGTTACTCAACGGGGTGTGTGGTAGGAGCTGAAACACCACTGCAACAGTCGGGACAATTATTTGGGCACGGGGACAAGAAGGGGGCAACAAATAACGCTCCCAACGCTCTGGCTGTAAGATGCTTTGCATTAAAACAGAAGTCTCCAGCCTGCATCCTCAGGGCATTTAATGGGAGTTTAATTAATGCCTGACTCTCCCTAGAAAGGAAAAGAGCAAGGCCAGGTTTTGTAAGCTTCAAGCTCAGGGAGGGCGAGCGTAGGCAGGCCCAGCGCCTGCGAAAAGCAGCTCCGCGTGTCCCAGCGTGGGATCATGGAATCACAGAATGGTTTGGGCTGGAAGGAACCTCAAAGATCATCCAGTTCCAACCCCCCTGCCATGGGCAGGGACACCCTCCACTACGCCAGGTGGCTCAAAGCCCCATCCAACTTGGCCTTGAACACTTCCAGGGATGGGGCAGCCACAGCTTCTCTGGGCAACCTGGTCCAGTGCCTCAGCACCCTCTGAGGGAAAAATTTCTTCCTTAGATCCCATCGAAATCTCCCCTTTCAGTTTAAAGCCGTTTCCCCTTGTAAAAATCCCCTCTCCAGCTTTCCTGTAGGCCCCCTTTAAGTACTGGAAGGCTGCAAGAAGATCACCCCGGAGCCTTCTCTTCTCCAGGCTGAACAGCCCCAACTCTCCCAGCCTGTCTCCATAGCAGAAGTGCCCCCTTGGATCATCTTTGTGGCCTCCTCTGGACCCGCTCCAGCAGCTCCATGTCCTTCTTGTGTTGGGGACTCCAGAGCTGAATGGAGTATTCCAGGTGGGGTCTCACGAGAGCAGAGTAGAGGGGCAGAATCACCTCCCTCGATCAGAGGGATCAGAGCTGGGAGCACTGGGATGAGAGCAGCTGCATCCCCCCAAGTCGTTGGAGGGAGTCGGGGTGCTGGGCAAGGCACGGACCCCCAGCGCCGGGGCTGCTGAGCACCAGACATCTGGATTTGCTCAAGGTCACGCAGCGCCTTGATGGCAGAGCCAGGAACATGGTCTGGGGTTCCCAGCTCTCCATCCTGCGTCTTCGATTGCTCGGATCGTGCTTCCCCCGAGGAACATCAGGGATTTAATATTCTCTCCACTGCTCAGCACAGAAACCGAACAGAGCGCTTCGCTTTTAGCACAGACACAGCTTTGGCTATCGCCAGCCAGCTGCCGTTTCCTCCCGAGCCCTCTCCTGCGCTCCCAGAAACAGGCACCAGTGCCAGCCAGCGGGTCTCTTTCCAATATTTTAATGAGTCGCTACATCTTACACTCATAATTATAAAAGAATAAGAATCCATAAAAATATTTTCTTTTCATAATACGCACTTAAAATACTCCAGGGCAAGTCAACGTGGTTCATTTGGGTGGGTTGGTTGGGGTTTTTTTTTTGTTTGTTTTTTTGTATTTTCCTTTTTGCCCCTGGCAGAACCCTTGGCTTGAGGGGGGGTACGTGCTCCCCTGAGGTGCGATTGCTCAATCCCCCCTCCCCAGAACTGCAGTTCCTGTTGACCAGGTAAATAAAAACCAGAAGAGAGCATTTGCTGAGTAGATGGGCAAGGGGAACAGTCACTGACCCGCAGAGAACTGAAGCACAGCCAATTTCAGTGCACATCTGAAAGCTCAGGGTGTCAGGAAAGGAGAAGGTGGGGTCAGGAGGCAGCACAGAGAACAGAGGGTGGGAGGATTTGCATAAATATCATCCATCTTGTGTTGCAAAAAACCCAAATGCTGCTGTGATCTCCGGAGAGATGATCTCTGGTTGTAGCCAGCTGCTTTAGCTGCCATGCTACCTGTTGGCACAACTCTGCTTGCGAGCAGCCATTAGAGAAAGGTACCAGAGGACGCTGTTACCGACCCCAGCCACTTCCTCCATCTGCTCTGCAAAATTAAACTAAAAAAAAAAAATTAGAAAAGACTAGTGTTGCATGCTTCTGTAGAGCTCTCTTCACATCCCAGGGCTCCACATAGTCGCAGCAGGGCCAGGACACAGCAGCAGCAGCGATCAGCTCCCCCAGGGCTTAACAACAGGTAGTTCTCTCTTCCCTCCTAACTCCTGGCTTAAGGCAGCTTGCTGATTCGGCTCTTCCACTTCCAACACAGGCACTGAGTTCTTGCGGGGACTGCAGAGGTGCAGTGGAAGGGGAAAAGGATGGGGGAGAGAGAGATGGACACAAACCTCAGCCTCGGGAGACAGACCGTTGTCCATTGATTCCCAGGATAGAGGGAGTAGCAGCAAAAAAAAGCATTAACAGCCAGGCTGGAGGAGAGGAACAGGACGAGCAGCCGAGCAGGGGCAGACCTCCAGCTTGGAAAGTGAAAGAAGGTGGCACTGTCCAAAGGAAAGGTGCCCTCCACCCTCCCCCCTCGCTCAGGGGGGGACACCCAGCCCGGACGTGGGCACTCAGCCACTTGTGCTCTGGGTTAGATGGCTGTCGAGGGAGGTGGCAGCGGCAGGGCACAGGAGGGGGAAGGTGAGCTGTCAGTGTCCAGTTTGCAGAGGCTTGTGCTCTCAGAGGTATTCTTGTAGAAAGTGCAGCAGCGTGATTTCATAGTGCTCTCCTGACTCAGGGCACCGAATACTGTGTCTCTCGTTGGGGTAGATCTGGGCAGAAGCAGAAGGACAGGGCAGTTAGCCAGGAGCAGCTCATTCAGCACGGACAAGCCTCCCTCGTGTCAGCCCTTTTCCCCTCAACCCAGTCTCCATTGGGTCAAAGAGGTGCCAGGGAAGGTCTAGAGCACCAGCCCCCGTCCCTCATTGCGCTGGTGTGTTCAGCCACCTCTGCTGCCACCAGCCAAGAGACAGCAACGGTGCAGCGAAGGAAAGTTCCAGGCCTGAGGGCAGGAGCCCTGTTTGCAAATGCTTTTAGATACAGGCCACATCTGCCAGCAATGAAACAGCCACAGTGCCACCTCCCGGACACCTCTTGGAGCCAAACCAGCATTTACTATCATCTATGCTGCAACAAGATGCGGGAGCATCTACCTCCGCCTTCTCCCGCCCCCAGGACACACAGCAGATAATTTTTTCTTTCCAGATTTAAGGAACCTTCCCACTTCACTCTTGCTCCTCCTACCTGCAGCTGGTAAGGTTTTCCAGCCCGGATTAGCTGTGATACCAGGAAGTTGGTGTGAAAAAAGTGCACATTTTCATCCAAAAAGCCATGGAGGATCAGCAAACGATTTGGCCTGGAGATGGGATGAGAGAGAGGATCAGAAACAACACAAAAAGCTCTGCAGTGGGTCTGAGCAAAGAGCTGCCAATCAGCAAGCCAAAACTCAGCAATGGACAAGCAGTCAGAATAGCCTAAGGCCATGGACGTGGTCCTCAACCCCTCCCTGGCAAAGGGGTTGGGGGTACAATGCCCCAGCTTGCTGCAGAAGGCAGCAACCAGCCACGTGAGTTAAAATTAAACGGGATCAGAATCCATCCATTCTTTCGGGATTCAGCAGAGGTGCAACTGGTGGCACCAAGCAGGACCTGGGAGCAGGTTTTTCGCAGGTCACTCAGCCCCACAGTACTCACTCATTGGGAAGCTTCTCTACGTGTAATGCCACAGAGCCAGCCTCGTAACCTTGCTGGTTGTTTTCCGGGATATCCATGTACCGCTCAGTATACCCGGTGTCATATGCCATCCAAACTGTGACAGGAGCACCTGCTATAGCAATCTGTCAAACAAATAGGTAGCAGGAGACAGCCTCAGTTATCATGTGCTAAAGAGCTCAAGTGTTCCTCGTCTTCCTGAAGAGGCAGGAAAAACAGGCTCTGGACTGTTCTGTCACTCAGATCAGGATTCTTCTACAGGAAACCCTGTAAAACCCAGATTCTTCCTTGTGCTATCCCTCTTATAGTCACAATAGGGCTAATTCCTGCATACCATCACTAAAGGCTTCCTCTTTTCAAGGAAGACTTGTGGAATGATCCAGAAACTGTGCTAAGGACTTGGGAAGGGGATTAAGAATTAATGGATTTTTAATTAACTAATTGATTATCTCATTATGCTAGGTCAAGTCCTCCAGCAGTCACTGGGGAATTACCCCACCCCAGAGACCCCATCCTCAACAAGCCTCAGACAACTGTGATCTGTAAGCAGAATGCAGGACTATAGCCAGGAGCTACAGGTAGGACGAGGGACGTTTTCACCCGTCCCTCGGAAACATCAAGTGAAAAAGCCAACTCCATATGCCAAGAGTTAGAGAAGCTGAGGGTGCTCAGTGTCCTGACATGACAGCCCCACATCTAGACTTACCTTGAAGACATTGGGTTTACAGATAAGGCCCATGAGGGAGAGAAAACCCCCGTAAGACCAGCCATGTATGGCTACCCGACTCAGGTCGATGAACCCGTATTTTTCTGCTACATAATGTAAACCTTCCACCTGGTCCTCTATTTCCACCTGACCCTAAAAGGCAACAAATAAGCTCAAGTTAGTGACTTTCTAAATCTAGAAACTTGAGACAGAAAAGAGTAACACTCACACAGGAAACATGCAGCCAGGAGCCTTAGAAAGAGCAAATGAGCAGAGATTCACCAACGAAAGCACATTACCATTTGGTTTTTCAGGGCCCCTTCAAATTTGAGTCCTCGCTGGCAGGAACCCCTTCCATCAATCACCACCACAGCATAGCCTAGGGATGCTAGCGTGTTTAGCCGTAAGTACTTGATTCCTTTGAAGGAGTTATTCACTAGCTGCACCTAGAGGAGGAGGGAAGAAAAGTTTCAGAGCTGAGCAGCTGCCTTCCAGTACCTTCCTCCACCTGTCCCACTCTGTAGGCTCCTGAGCTGGACAGCAGCCACTAACCGAGCTACCAAAGCCATGCAAATCAGCCTAAATGCTGGAAAAAATCATCTGAGGTTTGAAGCAGAGATCAGAAGAGAGATCCAGTGCTTAACACCAACGAAAGCGTAAGTCTTCATGCATGACTGAGCTGCGCAAGAGCTCTGCCCTAGACAGCAACCCCACGGCCAACACCAGCAGTTAATCTGGAGTATTACCTGAGGGCCTCCATACACAAAGAGCACTGTGGGATGCTTCTTCCCAGGTTGGACATCATGAGGTTTGTAGACCATTCCATAGAGCTCAACATCTGACTGAGTGCGGAAGTGAAAGATCTCAGGTGGGATGTAATCTGGGGGACAACCTGCAGAAGGAAGTTCAGACACTAGCAGTGCAGTAACAGGCAGCAGGCTCTGCCTCCTACCCCACCTGAACAAGCTTGTTCTGTTCAAAGTTGACCCCAGTCAGGGCTCTTGCAATACCAAACTGTACCAAGCCTTGGCAATGCCTCTCAGAGAAGCCTCTCACTGAGAAACCAACAGCCTCTATCTGCCTGCACAGGGCAACAGGCCATATAACGAGTGAAGGGATCCCACAAGAAAACATCGCCAGCTGGGTATCCTCAGACAAGGCATGCTATGCCACAACAGCAAGGTGTGGAAGGTTAAGAACAGGGATGGGTGAAACAGAAAAAAACATTTGCAGGAGGGGTATGCGTGCTGCTGTGAGCTCTAAGATCCAAATCTTTAAAGCCTACAGCCTTAGAATGAAGTGGCCACTGCATCCCAGATACTTGCCCCCTCCCTCTTCAGACAAATCATGAATAAAGAAACACCCAAAACCACAGCCATCTAAACTCTGCACCCTGGCACACAGCTTTCACTCACAGCATGAAATAGTAGCATCTTAAAAGCTCATACAGCATTTCCTGGATGAGCTATCCACTACAGATATCTCCCCTGCAAGGTAACACAATTCATTTTCCCTTAGAGCGGAGTTACTTGGGACACTTCCCTCTCCATCACCTTTGGCTGCCACCAGCAGAAAGAGTATCACAGACATAACCCAGCATTGACACGTTCTACAGGACTTACTGGCTGCCTCCATCATGCTAGCCCAAAACTTGGGCTGCTTGTGGAGCGGGTCATCATCGGAGCCACTGAGCTTGTAGACGTGCACACAAGGTGGAGTGCTCACGCTGCTGTAGTGGCTGATGAACATGTCAAAGTTCTACAGATGGGAGAGAGAAAAGTTAGAGGAATAAAGTCTTTCATTTCCCACATCCAGTCTTCTCCACGTAGTTCTCAAGACAACAGATCCCACATCTCGAGCAACCAAGACAAAGAAGCCCTCAGGACTCACTACTGGTCATGATTCATTACCATTCCTAGTCAGGATTCCCTGTCAGTCAGGAGACGAGGGCGTTCTGTATCCAAGAAACAACAAACCTGGCTCATTGAACAGCTGTGGGAGAAGCCCGGAGTGGTGAGTCGCACAATTTCTCCTGGAGACTCATAGCTGACTACGTAGAGGTGGTGCTCCAACGGGGTGTCCTTTGTGCCTTGGAAATACACCAGCTTCGTAGCCTCATTGACCCAGATCTATGTGGGGAAGAGAGGGCTCAGCGACAGAAGGTTGACAACTACTGCTCCTTTGCCAGTTCAGACAGTCTGTCCCCGGGCAGAGTCAGCTTGAAACACAAATAGACCATGACAGGCTGCTCGTGGCATTAGGGACGGTACACAACGCCTGTTGATAGGACAGGTTGGAGAACACACACGTGGCACTCATGGAGAACTGCATATAGTCCAAGGAAGTAACAAAGAACCCAGCTTTTCTGAGAGACTCAAAGCATTTGCTTCCTGACGAGCATAAAAAGTTGGGCTCATGGGTGAAACTAGGAAGATTCTATGCTTAAATATGCCGCCTTCCCGCAGGATGTCTGGATTATAAGGGTACAGGTGTATTTTTTCCAGCAATCGTGATAACAAACTCCCATCTGTGGAAGGATCAGCTCTAACAGTACCAAACTTCAAGCCACACTAAAATATGTTTTTAATGTCCAGATAAAGCTGTTTCTAAATCCACTTGGCCAGCTAGGAATAGAGACTACAGCTTTGAAATACTGCATTGATCCAGCAACAGTAACTGAACTGTTTTCCACCTTACAGCTTCCAAATGCTGAAGCCCAAATGCTATTTCTGGCTAACCCACAGTTTGAAGATCACTGTGGACAGCAAAGGGAAAAAAATATCCAACTCAATTGGCCAGGAAAACCGGGCAGAGCCCTGTGGTGCAACAAATGCATCAAAATAATTGCTGCTAACACAATTTTAGCCATAACGCACGCAGGGAAGAGCTGTGGCCAAAATCAACAGCATGTACAGTGAGAATCCACATGGGGAGGGACAGCAGGTTAATTGCAGATTGAGGAAAAGCAGCAGAAACCAAATGCATGGAGCTGCAGGCCTTTTAAAAAGCGACAAGTGAAAATTCAGATTAATTGGAAATGAACAGACAAGGTCTTTATTTTGACAGAAATCACCTGGGAGCATTAAAGATCAGACTCAGAGCTAATTCCTGAAGCAAAACTGGAACGAAGGTTTCTACAAGATTAATAAAAATTCATTTCTGGCTATTCTGCAACCAATAAGAGATACAGTTTCTCCACATTCTAAATTGCTTCATACTCCCCAGCTTCCTTCTTCCTAAAGGCTCTACTGAGGGATGAGCTGAAGACCAAGAGTTCACTCTAGGCACTAGGACCTATTTCCAATCCACAAGTACTCATTGGGGTTAAAATGCTTCAGCAAAGGCAGCAATCCCAAGGTTCTCCACAAAATAGTTCTCTGTTGCTTTTGAACCTCAGACTTGTGTCCTTTTTTATGGCCTGACTCACTCATGGGATTTACTTAAGGAGCAATCTGAAGTCTGATTAAAAAGGCAATCGGTTCAATGTGCACTGGACTACAGCACTTCTGGGGAAAGCAGAGGCAGCAATAAAGAGAGAAACAAAATGAAGCTTAAGCAGTTCAGCTGGTCCCAGGTGTGACAGAGGCTGTAGGCCAGGACCGTGGGCAGACAACACAGTAACACTGAAAGAGAGAATAAAAATAACTACCTTTGATCCATGCCTCGCCAACACCTCCCATTCCCCACCAGTCAGGGCAATCTCCTCTTTGATAGGACATTTGAAATCATCTAGAAGAAAAGACGTGAGAATAAATCACTGTCTTCCCCAAAAGACAAACACAAGCAAATCAGAGAGGGAGCTCCCAAAGCTCAAACGCCAACTAAGGGCAGCTCTTACCCTCACTATGGACATAGGGCTGCACCCAGTCGTAGCTGCCTTGCTTTAGGATTGCTGTGACTCTGTACAGGTGGCAGAAACCTGTTTTGCATTCGTTGGCTCGGATAAAGCAGAGTTCTTCCTCCTCTCCCTCCGGTTGGATGAAAGGATAGAAGATATCATGAACCTGTCACACAAGGCAGAAGACCCATGAGTGATTTGTATTAACACAGCAGAGACATAGCCAAGGGAGTCAGTGCTGAACTACTGGGCTTTCAAAGGAAAGGACAGCAGGGAGAAATATCTCAGATAGGCAGCTAGTGGGCAAAAGCCATTCCATACTTTCCTATTACCACAAAAAAACTTTGGGCTCACGTAGAAGACCATGTGCTCTGGGCTTTCCATGGCTACTACCGAAACCAGCACCAGTCTTGCCTCTGAGCTAAATATTTCAGCTACGTGAGTCCCACAAGGTGGTGGTTATTCCAACACCTTAGAAATGCTGCAGTGTGAACTCAGGCCCCCTCATCACTTCTGTACCAAGGTGCTTAATCTTGGAGGCTGAAGTTTATTCCCTGTCGCCTGTGTCCATTACCTATCTAAATATGTACAAATTCCAGGGATTAGGGTTGCTCGTGCTTCAAGAAGCCATTTAATCTTGTAATAAAATACCCCCAAAAGAATGGCAGTGTTACATCCAAAAGCGTCAGCGTCCGAAGTGCCTGTGTTCACCAAGAACGTCAGCAAGAATTACATCAACAGCTCCAACTGCAAGGAGATGGCAGGATCCACATCTCCAGTGCTGACTGCATCAAAGCCCTTCTCATGGCTTCATCAACCTCCCTAAACTACCAGCAAATCTGGCACCACTGAGCGGCAAAGCAATCTGCTGGAGCATGGATTAAACTGGACACACAGCCAACACAAAAACGGTTAACCGTGGGGGAGAACAGGGCAGCCTGAGTTCTCCTCCCAGCCCCAAGCCTCTTACATTTATCCACACATCAGTGGTTTCTTCATAGATCACAAATGGCTGGACGTTTTCTGGCACAGTTTTGGCAAATTCAGCACGCTGCTCCTCATTTTCTGGGACTGGGATAAAGAGCGCTGGAGGCAAAAGGATTAGCTGCAGCCGCTGCTGAGGTCTGTCTAGGAACATAGCCCAGGCACTGGGGAAAGAACACGGAGGTGAATGTCAGCACCACAAAATAATGTCACTTTCTAACACTCAGAACATGCAACCCTTTTCCCCCCCGCTGGCAGAAAGGATGTAGGCATCTGAATGCAAAGCTTGTCTCATCCTCGCTGCTTTCTAATCTCCTGGAAGCTCTGCCAACACACACGTATCGCCAGACATCTCTGGTATTTCATAGGGGCATCGCTCAGACAAGATGTCTGACAGATTTGCCAGTGTCTATTCCGAGGGAGCACTGTTAACAGAACCCTGTCTCCAGAACATAACTCTTCCTTGGACAGCCCCTCCATCAGGAAGCAGTATTTGTTTTCTGGCAAGCTCCTAAGGAGCTAAAACGATCCCTCTTGAAGTGATCCATTTGTAGCTTCCTCATTGCACGCTGCACTAGCAGGGAAAGGCACAGACCTAAGACAACTGCCAAGCGAAGGAGTCGCTTCGGTCTCAGCCTTGTTCCTCTCCAAGGAGAGTCATTTGAAGTGGTGCTGCACTGCAGGCCTCTCAACATGACAGATGGCAAGCCACCGCTGCACAGCGCGGCCACCCCAAGGCCTGGAAGTGCATCAAGGGAAGTTTCATCATTAAGACAGACTTTCAAAAGAGCCAGCTCTCCCCCAGCATCTCAGTGACTGTGGATTTCACAAACTGATATATTCAGCACATTTAGATAAGCTCTGGTGCAGAACATAAGGATCACCTATGGGATTACCCTCTGGAAAGCTGTATGAATTTGGTTTCCTGAGCAGAAAATTAATGATGAGTTACAGAACACAATCTTCAAAGACAGCAAAGTCACCGTAACTTGACCTGGATAGAAACTAGTTAACAGTCAAGCAAGCTTTTGAGGTGAAAAAATTAAGAGCTTTAAAATTTCAAACCGATCAGGTTGGTGTGATTGTGTAACTCTCCAGGCAAGGCTGGCCAGCACAAGACTGTGTATTGCACTGGGAGCGACAGTGAGCTATGGGAGCGCACCGGTCACAGAGCAGTCCTTCCCCGTGTACACACCACACAAAGGACTTGGCACCACGCAAACTGCCCGCTCTCCTGTGATACGCTTGGCATTGATCACAAACTGGACCAATGAACAAGATAAAATTGCTTACAGTACGTTCATTTTC